TTCATTCATTCATTCATTCATTCATTCATTCATTCATTCATTCATTCATTCATTCATCTTCATTCAACATTAAGTTTCTCACACATGCATGTAACTATAAAATATATACACCTATCCTGATCAAGTGAACAGCTGATCTCCAGTTTCGGTGACAGAAGTAACTCAATTAATTAACTTCTTGAAGGAGGGTAAGGCCCCAGGTTTTGACTATGTCCTACCTGAGACAATTAAAATGAATTCAAATTGGTGGGTGCTTCTCCTCACATTCCTATTTACATTTATTGATCAAACTGGCCATCTTCCAGATATATGGGTTCACAATAATCATACCAGCAAGAATGCCCAATGAATTATAAACCCATTAGCCTTTTGAGTGTGGTTAGCAAAGTATAAACACTTAAATCACAACCTACAAGATTGGATAGAAAGTATAACTGGGCATGAACAATCAGCAATTTAAAGACAGGAGGTCAATGATAGTTCATATTTTCGTTCTTCACCATTTTATACAAAAGGATGCTCAGAAAATGAAATCCTCCCTGTATGTAGTTTTTTAAGATTTTAAATCTACCTTTGATTCAACATCTAGAACTGTCCTTTGGGAAAAACTTAAAAATATATCTATTTATAGTTGCCTTTCTTTTTCTGCTGTAGAATTTATATTTAAACACTTTCTAGGAGTTAGGTGTAACTCACCTGAGTCCCCTTCTGGCACCATATCCATGCAAAAAGGAATTCATCAGGGATATATCCTAGCTCAATCTTTGTTTAATCTTTGTTTTAAATATTTTGTTTAATTTTATGATGAATATTCTATATCATCCTATTTTTCTTGCTCCCAAAAAAACAGGGTGTAAGGTCCCGATACTTGTTTACACAAAAGCTGCTGCTATTATATTGCAAGTCCCTATGGAATTAAAAGAGCAATAACAGCCATACTTCATTATAACAAGCGAAATAATCTGGTTCTTAATTTCAAAAAATTAAAAAATCCTGTTTTTTACCAGGAGAGTGAAACAGCAAATCTGGATAACAGAGGGAAATAGAATGGACCTTCAAATGTCCTGGGCTGGTTTTCTACTCCAAAGGGACTTTGAGACTACATCATGATTATGTAGCATAGTTAGCCTCCAGTTCAAAAACTGCTATTAAGTGCTTCTTCTTACTAAAGGTAGACAACTAATAC